TGGTAAAGATTAGTGCTGCCCTTGGATGAACTCAGGGTGAGCTGTGGAAACATGCATAGGTGCATACCGCAGCTTAGGAACGGAAGCAAGCCAGTGAACACTGAAAGGCGGCCTTTCTTTTGGATTCACAGGCTCTGGCATTGAAGTTGGGTCAGAACATGGCAGGGGTTATTTCAGTTCACATCAGAGTAGGTCAGTAGCCTAGTAGCCAGGTCTGCCAGGGGTGTGAGCTTGGCTACTCTTGCTCATTTCTCCAATTGGGATAAACTCGTCATTCATTTTATACTGAGGACAATACAGAACCTGTCTTCAAGTCCACTGCTCCAGATTCCGTGTGTTCACTGCACCTGGTGCGCCAAGCCACAGTCCTGGTGCTGCTGAGGACCTTACTCTGCCCTGTACACCACACCATGGAGTGCCCAGCAGGGGTGACCAGTCAGAACCAGGCCAGTCCACAGCTGTCCTGCTGCCCATCGTTTGCCAGATTATTGATGAGGGCAGAAATAAAATACCTAAGGATATCACCCATTTCTATACACCATTGTATATCAGAGAACTTTGTAATGGTTAACCAACCTCAGTTATGGGGAAAACGTTGCCTAGGCCAAGGAGGTTAAATGCTTGCTATATAAACATAAGGATCTGAGTTCAACTCCCCAAACCACATTAAAAACAGGATGCACATAGGGAGGCAGAGAACCTAGCCAAGTCAGTGAGGTCTAGGCCCAGTGATAAACTGTCTTTAAAAGGGGGTTGACAGTGCCTAAGGATCAACACCCAAGATTGACCTCCAGGTCTGTACTCACATTCACGTATGTGCAGCTGTCCATATTTACTCACAAACACACAAAATCTAAGTGTTCTTAGAGCAGCTCAGCAAACCTGTGTACTTTAGTTAGATTTTGTGAGAAGAGAGAACATGCCATAGCGCCTCTCTATTTCTCTCTCTCTCTCTCTCTCTCTCTCTCTCTCTCTCTCTCTCTCACTCTCTTCCTCTCCCTCTCTCTCCCTCTCTCCCTCTCTCCCTGAATCCTGTTAAATGTGAAACCATAGCCATGATCTACCTATGTGAACCTTTACTGATTTGGAACATCTTTTACAGATTGAATTCATATTCTCCTTTCTGTCAATTCACAGGAATCTTTTGTCTTAGGTAATACTTGGTCTTTTTGCCCTGTCTACCCCTGTCATCTTTTTATCCTGTCCACAGGTGCCATCAGAAAACAGTAGTGGTTCTTCTATAGATGAACCCTGGCTCCTACTTGGTTTATAAACATTCCTCACACCGCCTGTATACTATGGAGGGGGGAGGTCTTTCACAAATGTAACTTATTTATTGGTTTCTCTTTTTACTGCTGTGCTTTTCAACACTACTTACCCTACTTCTCATGTACCATGTTGAAGCCAGGCTGATGGACAGTCCAGCAAGATGTGCATGTGTCACTGCATTTGGTCTCTAGGCCAATGTATTGCTACATCTCTGCTTCCTAACCTCTTATCTGGTGGCCCCTTTTGGAACAGCAATAGCTTTTTTAAGCATCAGTTTTTCTTTTCTTTCCAATACCTCTTTTATAATAAAGCCTGTCATTCATGAATGTTTTCTTTTATTCAAGAACCTCTCTATTGTCTGAAATATTTTGATAGCTTGGATTTTCTTTATACCCGGGGACTTCTGACAAGCTTTGATTCTTTAACCCGGAACCTTAATTACCTGATCAAACTCAGCAAATACTGTTTCTAAAATTCAGTTCCCATGGTCCAAACTACACTGAATCTTTCTCCATATTCCTGAGTTTGAGCTGCATCACAGCATATCTCAGGGGTTGTTATTAAAAGAAAGCTTGGCAGCTAGAGAGAGACAGCTCAGCAGTTAAGAGCATATACTGCTGAAGACCCGAATTTGAGTCCCAGCCCCCACACTGGATGCCTCCCATCTGCCCTTAACTCCAGGCCCAGGAGATCTGATGCCCTCTGCTGGCCCTAACAAGAACTGCATTCACATACACAAGTCCACCCCCGCCCCTCCACACACACACACACACAAACACACATCATGTAAAAGGAAAATAAACAAGACAGAAATTTTGGATACTGTGTCTAAAGATGTCAGGTTCTGCTCTTTAGAGTCAAAGATGTCTTGAAGGATGCAAGATGTTTCCATCCCCAGATCTCCAGTAAGCACTGCAGCCGCCACACCCCTTTGAAAAGAGAACACTAGCATCTGCTGTTGACAACTCTGCATTCCTGCTTATTTAAGTCATAGACAGTATGGCTTTTACATATTAAAACAAATTGACTTTCATTTACTGGCTGTAGTCCTAAGTACCAGAAATGGGTGATGGAGGCCAAACATCGAAAAGGGAAAAGTGAGGCCCTGAAGGGGAGCCAAGGTTTGGGATGGATAACAGCTTCATTGGCAGGGTGTGCCTTTCAGAGTTCAGAAGAAGAAGCAGAATAAAGGCAGATCCACATACTACTAAAATGAATGCACACACGAGAATGCTCATATAGTGCAATCAGACACTGGCCAGAATTAAGCAAATAGATGCATACACAGTTTTCCTGTGAATAAATCTACTGCGCCAACCTCAGCACTCAAGGCGACAGTGTATATCCGCAGTGTGCTCACACTTTGATTTTGCTCTGTCCTGATGGAAAATCCTCCACTTTTTATCCTTTGCCTGTCCATAGTTGGATCTGAATATATTTTGAAAACCAAAATGAATTTTGACTCTTAAGGACCATCAGGGTTTCTGTTAGAGCCAGTGCCATCTTATTTAGGGAAGAGATGGACAGTTGGGTTATAAGGAATGTGGTTTACACCGTTGTGTTTAGTCTGTCTACTCTAGTGTGTTTGTTTTTAATTACACGTCACCTAGAATATGTCCCCACAGTCTGTGCTCAGAGCCTGCTCACCAAACTGAAATGCTTAAATTGGCTTAGAAGAAAACTGCCAGCTTCATGCCTTAGGAAGTAATTTGAGAGTTCCAGGCATATTCCTGGAGTCTGTGGACTTGATGAGAATGTTAGCTCTGCTGTGAATTTGTTAGTTAATACGTGAGCTTGTTTTGCTTTGTTTGAAACAGGGTCTTATGGTGTAGCTCCAGCTGACTTCAGACTCAATATGTAGATCAGGCTGGTCCCAAATTTATGCTGATCATCTTGCCTGTGCCTCATGAAGCTGGGATTGCATGTGTATGTGTACACCACCATGCCAGGCTACTCTTTGCTTATCTGTTTTCATGGTCGATACATAAAATAGTATGAGTGGAAAGATTGTTTTAGAAAACTGCTTATTTGAATTTATCTTTGGACATGGCCCAATTTAAATGACCCTTTTCCCTAAATGTGGCACCATGAGCCCCCTCAGGAAGACTCAGCCTAGTGACATAAGCTATAACCCAGTTCCTCAGGAGGTTAGTGATGAAGGGTTACAAGTTCAAGGCCAGCTTGAGGAGCTATGGAAGCCCTGCCTTAGAATAAAATGGAGTGAGGGAATTGGAAGTGTGATAAGTGTTTTCCTATCGTGTATGAGAACCTGAGTTCAGTTCCCAGGACAGAAGACAGATAATACCCTACATGTTTTTCTTTTTGCATAAAAGAGCTCATGTGGAGTCCTCTTTCTCTCTTGGCCTGTCAATTGTCAGTCTGAGAGGGAAAAAAGGCAGATGGAGCACCAGAAAGCATTGTACATGGTGATGAGCATGGGCAGGGACAGCCCTTAGGATCAGATTTCAGTGAATCAGCTCAATATTATTCCATAGTATAAGGAATATGAAGGATTGGGGAGCCTGGGGAAACCCTAATTTGCATTAAGTGTCATGCTCTTATCACAAGGCTTGGTATGTGGCAGTAGGATCCTATATACCAGAGCTCTTAGTCTCTAAGTCTTCTTAGCAGGGATCTGTGCCAAAGGTCAAGCTAAAGATGAATCAGGCATCTGGCTTAGAGGCTGCTTTCAGATAATGTCAGTCCTCCAGGCCCAGGGACATTCTCCAGATAAGGGCAGGTAGAGAGCAGGAAGCCTTGCTGGGGAGGGAGGGCATTTCCATGTTGCCAAGCTTAGAGATAGCTGCCAGGCCATGGCAAACTTCGACCTCTAACCAGCCAGCAATGTATTCCAATAAACTTGAAACATATTCATAATAAACTTAGAATGAACTCAGTGTGGGGGTTAGGGGGCTGAGGTGTATATAGGCTTCCAACCAATGTTCCAAGGCTTCTCAGACACTGAAATTCAAGTCCACACACAGTGGTCGAGCTCTTTTGGGGAAGAAAACAAATGTGGGCAGGATGATTCAAAGGCTTATGACCAGTATTTAGGGATCCGTAAATGAACAGCTCACTGTCCTTGTAATGTGTGTGCCAGGGGGGTTGGGCCACCATGACAGAAGAGAGAAGCACCTGCCTGATGTTCAGCTGCAGGGGTGGGCCCTTGGGGTGTGTGAGCACTCCTGAGAAAGGCCCCTTCCAAAGTGTCAACCCTCAGCTCTGTCAGAAACCCACATGCTCAACTGGCCATGGCCACCAACCCAAGTGAGGCAGATCTTAATGGTGTGGTCCTTAACTGCCACATTGTCCTGTGTCAGAAAGAGCCTTCTGATACTGTCAACTAAAACCATGTTAGAAATGCAAGTCGAAAGGGCTCTGGCAGATCTGTGTGGCTTTTGTGTTTGGGGTGAGGCTTCCCTGTGGGATGCTTTAGATTCAATATGGGTCCCTCCATGGGTGCCTTCTTGTGTTATTAGTTCATTCAAACTAGAAATTTCAGCAACTGTTTAAAATATTTCATTTCTTATAATTTTTTTCTTTTGCATCTATTTGGAAATGTCACATCAAACCCCCATCCGATTGTACAATACTTTTTAAAGTTTTTAAATGAATGAATTGAGAAGACTAATGATAATAATAATAATAATAAACAGGAAAATGAAGAGTGCAGTGTGCTGGGTGCCTTCCTGCTAGATAATCATGCTGGCTTCGTTTCTGTGTCCTTCCAGGGAAAGAGGAACAGTGGCTTCAGGCAGTGTTTCTTTGGGAACCAGAAGCACTGCAAGATGACAAAACTCTGTCCCGCCATGGGCTACACATTCAGGCTTGCTGCTCGGAATGACATCGGCACCAGGTATAACACCTCATCTTCTAACCCTTCAGCCTTCAAGGCATGATTCTGCCTGTCTCCCACATTGCCTGAAGACTTGAGGACGCCGTCTCCACACTGAGCAATTCTGAGAGGAAGTGCCAAGGAGGGAGATGGCCTTTGAGGTGACAGACCACTCTGGCCTTTACTCAGCCCCACTAGAGGTCCCACCTGGAGACCAAGAGAAAGGTGGTCTCAGAGCTTTGTAAAGGAAGGCTTCCTCTTGGACATCTCCCCCACCCCAAGCTTCCTTGTTCCGTATCACTTTTAATGCGCCTGTCCGCCAGGCCCTTCCTTTTCATTTTGTGACTGTTGCTGATACAAAGAAAATGCTGCTGAGCGACCATTATCATCAAGTTATAGAATCAGGGAAAACCTGGACTGCCTGGTCTGAGGTGTCTCCAGGCTGCGGGAGGAAGGAAAGAAAGGACACTAACCAAGGAGCCCATTGATTAGGGATTTTGAACAAAGGTGATGTCTCTGTTCTTGCTGGGTAACTCTTGATCCAGGGGGAAAAAAAATCTTCTCATTTCAAGACTAAATTTTTGAGGCTAAGCATTTGGTGGTCCCAGTCTGGAGAGCCCTCCATAACATCACAAGAATTTTTAGAACTGCTCCCAGTACCTAAAAAAGCAGTATAGCTTAAGTGTTTTCTAACTGGAAACATTGGAATGATACAGGCTTCTGTGGTTCAGGAATCGCTAAATGAATTAGAAGCACCACAGGCTTGGAAAACTGTAAAACTCGTGTTCCTTCAGCAACGTGACTTGTTTGTACACACATTCATCTGAAGTAGCTGCTACTCTTACCTTGAAAAAGTGCTATGCTTTTGAGGGAAATAAAATCATAAGCCTGTTTTCTCCCAGCTGAAGTGCTTGTCAAATGCAGGCGATGGAGGCACAATAAGACAGTAGAAGCTGTGGTGGAAATGTGCTGTGTACAGGGTCCTTTCCCACCACCACATGCCAGCGGGGCTGGGTAGAGGCGTTCCCTCCCTCACTGAAAATACCAGGCCTCCTGACACAGCTCTCAGATGTTTCCTGTGTTCATCTCTCTGCAGTGGTTACAGCCAGGAGGTCGTGTGCTACACACTGGGGAACATCCCACAGATGCCTTCAGCACCCAGGCTCGTCCGAGCTGGCGTCACCTGGATCACACTGCAGTGGACCAGGCCCGAAGGCTGCTCACCTGAGGAAGTGATTACCTACACCCTGGACATTCAGGAAGATGAAAACGTGGGTCTTACTACCCAAATTCAGGGCTACTCTTGGTTCCCCCCACTGCTACCATTGCTGTGCACGTCAAGCTACCTTTTCCCAGCTCAGCAAATGTCTGCTGGACCTTTTAGCTGGAGCCATCCAGTGACCCCAGATAGAATCAAGCAGCAAATCTTTTTCAAACCATCCTTTAAAATTACCCGGAAATCTAACACATGTTCACCATGTCCACAGCTAAGAAAGCCTGTAAGGCACAGCCTTCCCCTTGCCTTGAAGGACTGCAACGGCACTCCAACTGTGCCTCCATATCACCCCTGTGTTCTATGACCAGTGCAACAGAGCCCATGCTACCTAGACACACCCTCTTGCAGAGGGCCCCCCGGTCTCCTAATGCCCACCCCCCCAACTGGCCCTGTGTGTTTGGGTTTTGTCGCTGTCCTTGTCCCTTATACCGCTGTGCCCTGGCCTTGTGGTCTTGCATTTCCTGTAGTCTCCTGAGCCAGTTCCTTGAAGATACCTTTCTCACTTTCCTGGTTTCCTTTGGGTCTCTTCTCACATCTCAACAAATATCCTACCAGGATATTCCTTGCCTCAACACTCTGGAACATCTCTGTCACGTAGAGCTCTCTGCACAGGTCCCGTGGTTTATGTGGCTTTAAGCATTTAAAATCTGGCTGCTGGCCGAAGGAGCGGAGTTTTTAATTGTGTTAAGTTTGAATGCCAAGAGCCACATGTGGCTACTGTACGTCACCAACCCATGCTGCTATGACAACATCTCAGGAGCTCCACCAGACAGCCACTTGCCTTCATGTGCCTTGACAGCCCACAACACCACATGATATGCCTTCTCTGTGTCTAGAGTTTTCTTTTTCCCTTTGCCTTCTTTAGCTGACATGCAAGCATCTTGTGTACAGACTAGACTCAGTATGCCTTTTAGCAGGGCTGATCTCTTGAGCCTGAAGGGAGCCTAATGCACAGAGGGATGGAGAGACAGAGGGAGGCTAGGGGACACAGGAACACGATGGAATGAACTGAGTGTATCCCTCTACCACAGTAGGGTCTATCCTGGAAGGAGGTTGTCCTTGGCCATGCATGCTGTGCTTTCTCTCTTAGCCAGAAGAGAGCGCTGTGAGCTCAGGAACCTTGCCTACCTGCTATTGCACAGCCCCTTTGCAGTGTCAGTCTCCCAACCAACAGGCTTTTCTTATGACAAATTAATTGTTAAATAACAATGTTTAAAGTGCTTGCTGCTTCGTCATAATCTTAATACAGGTAGCCAGAGCCAGGCTACACTGCAGTGTGACAAACGAGACTGGAATTTAAGCTAGAAAGCTGTCCACAGCACCATCAGCCCCTGATACCCCCTTCTCAATGGCTGCCAGCCTCCGTGGTGGAGATAGGAAGCCACAGTAGAAGGCCCTAGCTCCTTCGGAATTTGAGACCCATATGATATGATGATGATGATATCTCTGTCTGGCTTTGTCTTTTCAGGATAGCCATTTCCACCCCAAGTACAGTGGAGAAGATCTAACCTGTACGGTGAAAAATCTCAAAAGGAGCACACAGTACAAATTCAGGGTGAGTCTCATGGCCTCGGTGCTAACCCTGCCATTTTAGAGCTTCTCCAGGTACATCCAGTGGAGTCTGCAGGACAAAACTGTACTAAAACAGGTGGTACCTTCAAAGGAGCACACACACTTTCGAGCACCACCATGCTTTAAGTTGAAAATCTAGTTTGTAGACAGAAAACCATCCGAGAAGATGCTGTGACTGTGAGGGCAGGTGCTCCCGTGACACTGTGTGTCCCTGCACTCACTGGCAGTTCATTCCTTCCCTGTGCTGCTCGTCATCATGCACGCTGGTCCTCTCATCATTCCTCGTCTGTTTTTATTTTTCTCTTTTATATCCCATCCCTTCTTCAGCTTAGGCCAGTGGTTCTCAACCTACCTAATTCTGCAACCCTTTAACACAGTTCCTCCTCTGGTGGTGACCCCAGACCATAAAGTTCCTTCATTGCTACTTCATAACTACATGAATCGTACAGCTACTTCATAGTTGTCTGACATGCGACCCCTGTGAAAAGTTTGTCCGACCCACAGGTTGAGAAACACTGGCTTGTATACAGCCACCGCTAACTAACGTTACGGTAGGGATCTGTGCCATATGGCTGCAAACCTGAAGGCTGCTTTTGCATCACTCGTGCGATGACCCCTTCCAGCCCACAGCTTCCTCTGTTGGCTCTGAGCATGGCACCCATCTCTTCCTATGCCCTGAGGGTTCTCCACCCCAGCTTCTCTAATTTTAGGGCTAAGTAATTTAATTTGGCATGTAGTCACTCCAGTATTTGTCAAATTATCAAGCGGAATGTTGTGACTGACTATTTGAGGACTATAATTGTTTTTGGTATGCTAAAAATACCAGTGTTGGCTCCCAGCGCATAGCTGTAGTGCTGGCATTCTCCACCAGGTGGCTCTGTCTGACTCTGCCATAAGTAAAGTTTTTGTCTGGTTTATCCTTCCTTGTTTTCTTTTCGTCAGACACAGAATAGGTGGGAACATACTGATTGTATATATGCTGTCACTGTAGCCTCCGCTTCCTCCTCCTTTGTTGAAACATGGCCTTGCTCTATGTTCCAGGATTGCCTGGAACTCGCTACATAACCTAGAATGGTTTCAAACTAACAGCTAAGTTGCTTCAGCCTGCCATGTGCTAGGATCACAGGCATGTACAATTACCCCAGGCTTATATTTCTTCTTGTAAGGATATACACATATCCTTAGCTAACACCTGCCTTATAGTTTTATTTCCATTGTTAGTAACCAAATATAAGCAGTGGGAGTGCTCGCAAACACTTAAACGGACAGTCCGAAGAAAGAAAACACACGCGACATGACTGGTAGCTATGCATCAGTCACTGTGGACTTAATTTTAGCCTGTAACTTACGTGTGCTGCTCTTCTCTTGGTCCTGTCTCAGCTGACTGCTTCTAATATGGAAGGGAGGAGCTGCCCCAGTGAAGTCCTGGTTTGTACAACCAGTCCTGACAGACCTGGACCTCCGACCAGACCCCTCATTAAAGGGCCAGTCACATCGCATGGCTTCAGTGTCAAGTGGGGTACGTCTTCTGCCTCAGCTACTGCTGTTCCTTTTTGACTCGTTTTAATTTCAGTGGAGATGAGTCAGACACAGACATACAATATCATGTGTGAGGGCATCATGCATTTGTTATACATGTGTGAGAAGCATCCTGAGGTCTGGAGGAGGCAGTGGGATTTTTAATGTTTGGCCAGACTGTAGTGGACTACTTAAATGAACAATTTTAACAGGTATCTCTTTGTTCTATAATTGTCTTATATTACATTTTTCCTCCTTTTTTAAATGAATTGTTGATTTGAGTCTGAGAATTCATGATTAGATAATTCATTCTTTAGTGACTTACCTTAAACAATTTAATAGAAGGCTAATTTAAATAAATACTGAGATTGGAATTCAAATTTAGATATGTAATTTTTTTAACATAAAGTGCTTAGGTTGCAATTAAATATGAAAGATTTTGTTTTGTGTAGCCACCACCATGATTTCAGGATGTCTTTCACTTGGGGCAGAGATAACCTGAGAGGACATTCAAGTTCATCTCTGTAGCGTGAGTCATTTCAGGGACATGCGTATTACTGCATGGCTGTAACATTTGTAATTACATGTAAAGTGCTTAAGACATGTGTGCTTTATACTAATGTTATGTAGGAATATGTGTAAATAACAAGTGAAAGGCAAAACAGAGTAATTTAGAGTTCTAAAGGCACTGTGTGTGAGGTGCAGTTTGAAGCATAGATCATTTGTGGAGACTAAGCTCGAGCATGCTATCTTGAGTTACCAAAGAATTCTGGAGGGTGAGTATGGTTAAGAGAACGGACTCAGGGTTGCATTGCATGCCCTTGCTCCTGAGATCCTGACCCCCTGAACCTCCTCAGCTCTATGCTGGGTTTGTCCTTGCCATCACTGTTGTTAATGTTGTTATGGAAGTGTGTGTAATGCAAAGATCTGGGAAAGTGAGCTTCCTCAGGCCCTGTGAGGAAAGTCAAGGCCTTGGGAAATTCCTCCTGTGACTAGGGATGTAGAGGAGGCAGGCTGCTGTCAGACATGAATTCTTCACAGTTTGGCCAAGTTATTCTGCCTCCAGATTTCATACTCAGAAAAGTCTCTTGCAGGCAGCATCTGTGGCCATTTATCCCGGGTAACATGGGAGACCCTGGTAACTGACAGAGCCCCCCTCCCCACACTGCCTGGGGCACATGTCAGTCAAAGCTCTGGGGCTAGATCTGGTTCCCTGGGTGGGTACATAAAGTTCACTTGGTAGAAAGTGTGATGGAGTGAATTTATTCCATTCCAATATTTTATTTATTTGTAAATGCAGTTTTCTTTTCTCCCCCTTTCTCATTTTTCAAAAGAGTCTAGTTGCTCATAAAATATACAAAGTAAAAATAATAAAGCAAAATAAATATCTGAACATTGCAGCTTTGCATAAAAATATCAGTTCTTAAAGAGCCACTTCAGAATTCTCCAGAGTAAAGTCATTTTTACGGAAGTCGTTCCACTTGTCAAGTTTTGTGCATGTTTCACTAAATAAATGCTAACTCTTATGCTCCATTTTGCATTTCAACAACCTTCAATAGAAGCCTGATGAAATTCAGTTTCTTGACACTGAGGAGCCAGTGTGGGAAGAGGGAGACAACACACGCTCATACCTGTAATATCAGTACTGGGATGGGGTGCTGAGGCAGGAGAATTGCCAAAACCTTGAGGCCAGCCTGAAGTATGAGATGGTGTCTCAAGAAAAAAAAAAAAAAAAAGAAAGAAAGAAATTTTAAAGGGGCAGGGGTTGTGAAAAAATGAATTGTGCCTTTTGGTCCAGTGCAGACTGAAGGCCATGTCATGATAAGTTCATTTGTTCTCTGTGCTCTCCTCACTTACATCTGCCTACTCTCCAGATGCTCCAAAGGACAGTGGTGGCTCAGAAATCCTTAAGTATCTGCTGGAGATCACAGATGGAACTTCTGAAGGTGACATTGGAAACTTCTATACAACCCATTCACACCCCTGAGTTCTTGTCCTGATGTGGTCAGATCCTTTATAGTCGCAGCAGCAGGCAGCCATTAGTTCTAATGATAGAATGAAGCCATGCCAAGCATTGGCATATCTACCTGCTTATCTGTCTGTCTGTCATCTCCTGTCCCTCCCTCTCACTAGAGTTTGATATTTTTTTCTTTCAAGCACCCTCAACAAGCCCTCTGCACCGAACTGTACCCTTGAGTACAGTTTCCTCTTTCAGACACCCAGCTCATTCTTCTTGAAGTGTCCATTTTTTGACATGTTGGGTTTTTTTTTTTTTTTCTATGTCAATTTTGAAACCACATGGTAAATAAACTTCAAGACATTCTCCCCTAATTTGCCATACTTTCTCTCACAGGATAAATAAACCTGGGGCTTTCTCCCCTAACCTGCCATGCTTCTAGAAATTGTGGGCAGAGGTTCAGGAGCAACTTCCCTGGCATCCTGGCATGTCCAGTGACAGTCAGGTGATAGTGTGCTCAATGATAGGCATCAGACTTTCATGGCATCTGGCCTCCATTGTGGCTCTGGAGTTTGGTTTCTCATCCATATTCTCACTGTGAGGATTAAAATGGGGCCATGGGACTTGCCACCAAGTCTAGTGACCAGAGGTCAATCCCCAAAACCCATGTAAAGGTGGATATCAAGAACCAACTCCACAGAGTCATCCTCTGAGCAGCACCCTTACCACACACAGTGTAGTAGTAAGAACTTCAGTGGGACAGTGGGCTTCAATAGAAAAAGATATAGTTGTCAAAACTTTAAAACATAACCTAATTTACTCGTAAGGCTGCTGTGAGCATTACTTTTTTTAAAGTATGCATGCCTGTGACAAAAGAGAGAACCCTGAGTCATGGAAACAAGTGACTCTCTTGTCTGCTATTTTACATTTACATTGACAAATGGCCAGTGCATGGGAGTAATTAATAGAATCTTTGCATTTTCATTGTTCCAGTTGTCCCTCAGTGTAGGGTGTCTACCCCATAATTGGAGCACTGCTGTCTAAATCCCCAGTTCCCATGGAGCTTTATCCTAACTCTGACCAGATAAGGCCAAGTGCCACAGGTAGGGATAAAAGTCTAACATGATAGGCAGCTAAGGGATCTGGTGGACAGTAGTATTAAACACCATAGAATAGTGTGAGCATGTCTTCCACAACTCGTGAAGTAAAAGAAAACCAGAGAGAAGGTAGCCCAGCAGCCTGATGCTAAAGTAGGTAGTGATGGGCTTCTCCCCAGTGGGCGCCAGTCTGGGGAACACCCTCCAGCCACCCAGTCTGCTTCCTTCAGTCTCAGAAGCCCTGGGACTGAAGTCACTCCTAAGTGACTCCTAAGTCACTCCAGGGTTTCACCTGTGAGTTTGCACTGTCGGGCACACCGTCATAAGCGCGCTCCCTGTAGACAACAGGCCTTTCTCAAAAGCTCTTGGTCTGGAAAGGTTTGTTTGACCGACTGCCACCTTCAACAGCACCCAGACTTTCTGGAAGCTTGTGTCATGTGGACAGCACCTGCATAGCTGGCCCAATGACATCCTCACCATGCCATTTCACAGCTATTCAATGATGTCTTTGTACCCTTCTTCTGTGCCAACCCCCATGTCATATGGCTTCCCACATCCCGACCTCATAGTCAGCAATGTCACAGTGGTTGTAAAACGTGCTTCCGTATATATACTAGTGTCAAGTGGAAGCCACTTGGGGTTTTTGTCTCAGATACTGTGTCTAGCAGAGACTGTCGGCCGTTACAAAAGGCTTAAACTTACACACATCTCATTTCACAGCTGGGCAGTGGGAAGTGGCCTACAGTGGGTCAGCTACGGAGTATGTCTTCACCCACCTGAAACCGGGTACTTTGTACAAACTGCGAGCATGCTGCATCAGCACCGGTGGACACAGTCAGGTTGGTTAACCAGGGTGTGGCAGCAGGCCTCTTGATCAGATTGGAAAGTGCCATGTCAGTAACAGCGGAATATGTTGCAGTTTTAAATGTGTCTTGTTGATGCTGCCTGCCTGCCTTAGTGTCACATCTGGATATGAAAATCCTCTTTGGACTTACACTTGCAGCACAGAAACGATAGGCCCAAATGATTCTCTGTGGCACTCTGATGCGTTTGTCACTGGTTTATCTCTCAGATAACTTTCAGATAGTTACATCAGGGAGATGAAATTAGTTAGGATTTGCACAAACTAAATAAGGGAGACTTCAGTCATTTCAAGGAGGAAAAAATACAGACTTTAGAATCAAGACCTGCATGGCTGTGCTGGTTTGTTAACACAGCTGTGCAGGTCCTTTACTGCCACCTGCTGGGAGACTATTGTAAAAACTATAAATCTGATGCTAGAGCTAATGACACCTCTGCTGTTGGGTAGGTCTGCAGGCAGCAGCCATGTATGACTGTAGATCAGGCAGGTGGCATGTCAGGAGACTCAGTGTCTACCACACACAGTCCAATATAATCAAATGAATGCGTGAAGAGTGCTCTTGAAATAAGAGTGCAGGTGTAACATTGACATTCATGAAAGAGGCACTGTGATAAGAGTGATTTCACTATAGATTATTTGAAACCATTAATACGAACAAAAATATGGTACCTAGTTACCCAGTAGCAGACGGATTATTAAATATAAGGCTTGCCCTGTCCAACATTTTCCTGAATTTTACACACACACACACACACACACACGCACGCACGCACGCACGCACACACACACACACACACAGCCCCTGCATAACATAGGAATTCCTCAGTGCCTAGAGTTCCAATCTAGACAGACCCCTCCTGTGGGATAAAAGTCCCATCAGAACACTCTGCTACAGTGCTAAGGCTGCCAGGAATGCCTCTGTTGGAGTATATCCAGACCAAAGCCATAGCACCTCAGTGGTACCTTCCATGTGAGGGACCATTCGAGGCAGCATATGTGTTATTTGAAGACATAGGGTCCATTTCCCATACACTACTACTCTGGAAGGAGTTGGAGCTGTCTGGCTCCACCCTGCCTCCTCCATTCTTGTAAGATGGCGATCTTTCATACCACCAGCCTTGCACAGGCAGATCCCACAAAAGGGAGGCAAAGTTATTTTAGCATTTATAGACTTGGTGGACGAGTGCTCCCTTTGACCCTTCTCTGCCATTTCTGGGACTGGCTGGCCATTTAGGATACCATTCTTGATTTTGTCCAGCTGTTGTCTTATGTTCTCTTGCATTCTCATGAAGGGCATTTCTAACATTGATGTAAAGAAAAATAAATGTACTTAGGGTGGTCAATACTCCATCCTAGTTATCTGACGTCACAGAGAACCACTCTTGTTATAACTGACATTGTGTGCAATGAATGCCCACATATAACACGTGAGACAGGTGTGGACCCTCCTGAAGAGCTTAATGCTTGACAGGCCCACAAATCTAGTGTATAATTCCCTTTTGGTCCCATTTACAGTTGTGGGATAGAATTAGCCTGGTGGATGACGTGTGAGCAATTCACAGTAACTAAGCAATGGTCTTTCCGGTGTTTCTCCCACAGTGTTCTGAAAGTCTCCCTGTTCGTACACTAAGCCTTGCACCAGGTCAGTGCCGACCTCCGAGGGTTTTGGGTAGACCAAAGCACAAAGAAGTCCACTTAGAGTGGGGTGAGTGAATGGATCTTCATCTTGGCATGGACCAAGACAGTGGGAGATAAAGACACAGTGCCTTGTCACTCGGCTGCAGGGCTTCCTTCGAAAGCCATGCCACCCTGTGGGCATACCTGTGTTCTCCTTAACCTGGGCACCTTGGTTCCCTCGCCCCACACCCTTCTGCTCCTCCTGCTCCCATTCTGGGGTGCTGCATGTGCTCTTGCTACTTACCTTTCAGAGGTCACATTTCTAGAGGAGATTCCGGACTAGCCTGCCTTCTCCAGGGACTGTTCACTATGAGAAGAAAATCTGCAGAATGTAGGGATTAAACCAAGAAATGGTTCAAGGAGTAGCATCAAATTCCTTGGTGGCAGGTCCTGATATTTTCATAGCATGCCTTCTACAGCTTCCAGTGTGCTGCACACTGCAAGTGTAAATGTGTAGAACATTAGCAGACATCTGCTCACCACTTATGTCTAGAGCATTATTAAGCCAGTTTGGAGTCATGTAGACTTCGCATTACATCTGACATTAAGGAGATGTTTTTCCCCTCCTTCCTTCCCTTCTCTCTGTCGAAGTGTGAAGGTTTGCCTAGTGGCCCTGCTACTCCTGGATTCTTTTTCATATAGTCGAACATGATTACATGCATTTGCTTTGGATAGTTTGGATCATTCAGGAGCTTTTTCACTGTTTTGATTGGGAGGCTCCTCTTGTAGTAGAAAAATCAAAGGACACACTGCCTACTATTTTTGAAAAATAATAATAGAAAATCAAATGTAACACAGTCAACCGGAAATCCACAAAATTCAGGCTGAAGAGGTAGTTCAGTGGTTAAGAGCACTTGTTGCTATTGCAGAGGATCCAGGTCCAGCTCCTAGCACCCACAGAGTGTTTCTCAACCACCAGTTTGAGAGGTTTCACTGCCTTCTACACATGGTGCACACTCATAAATGCACACACAGAAATAGAAAAAATGCTTAAAGATGAAAACATTTTTACATCCTCAGATGTCCCTGCATCTGAAAGTGGTTGTGAGGTATCCGAGTACAGTGTGGAGATGACAGAACCTGAGGACGTAGCTTCAGAGGTGTACCACGGGCCAGAGCTGGAGTGTACTGTCGGCAACCTGCTTCCTGGAACTGTGTATCGCTTCAGAGTGCGGGCTCTGAATGATGGAGGGGTAAGTGTGAGGTCACCCCAACAATCAGAGCACAGGTGCCCCTTCAGCCCCCTGACGTTCCTCAGGAGTGTGTGCACCACACTGACAGTCACTACACTGTATAAAAGATCCTATTTGAGAAGTGATGCTGTCACTGTTTTCTATAGTTTCTTTCCATGAATGTAGGGGTGTGTGTGTGTGTGTGTGTGTGTGTGTGTGTGTGTGTGTGTGTGTGTGTGCGTTTTAATAATTCATGAAAGAAAAGTATTTCTTGTTCTCTCAGCAACTTTATCAGTTGTAGGAATTAGTGCTAATGAACGTTCTCTAAGGGAAGTGGGCAGACTGTCAGGAGAGTGTTCGCTCACACTGAGTTAGAGCCCAGGCCTCCATTTTAAAAAGCATGCTTGTAATCTCTGCACTGGGAAGGTGGAAACAGGAGGACCCCTGGGGCTTGCTTGTCAGCCAGGCTAACTTACTTAGTGAGGTACAGCCCTGTCTGGGAAAACACACTAGAAACAGATGTTGTCCCCCATCCTCCACACCTACACACAGGTACTGTACATGCATGAATGGACACACACCCCAGAAAGTATTACAGCATGTTGTCTTTGCTTCAAGTTGCTTATTTTTAGACAAATGGGATGGCCTGAGGAGGAGGCAGCTTACTAGTTTTGTTTTTATTTTAATTATTATTTGTTTCCAAGGGTTGCTTATTTTTTTTTTCTTTCAAGTGGTAGAAAGATGTGGATTTTAAAAGACATGCAGGGCATTGGAAATGAGGAGTAGGTGGCCCAAAGAGAGTGTCAGATGGGCAGAAATGTAAAAGAATAAACTAATGCCAAAGGCTCCGAGAGCCTCAGTGGTATATATAGATGGGTTCCATGAAAAGTGTTGCATTTCATTAATTGATAAAATTTATTTAAAAAGAAAGAAGACCAATTGATAAGATGTGTTGATCATTGTTAATATAAAGAAAAGACATGTCATGAGAGACCAAGGACATTCCGAAAATATGTTATGGCAGTGTGCTCTTCAAAACGAAAATACCATTAACTAGCTGGGTGTGGTGGACATACCTATAAATTCCAGCATTAAGGAGCCTGAGGCAGAAACATCATGGGTTCAAGGCTAACCTCGGCTGCATGGAAAGATCTTGTCTCAAAAAGGAAGGCAGATGCCAGCCACCATTATCAATCACATTGGGTGATACTTTTGGTCAGTTGTATTAATGATACTGCTGGGCTTTTCTTTAATTGTCGCATGAAACACATGTGTTCTCTTTCAGTACGGTCCCTACTCTGATGTGTCAGAAATCACCACCGCCACGGGGCCCCCTGGGCAGTGCAGAGCGCCATGTGTTTCCTTCACACCTGATGGATGCGTCTTGGTGGGTTGGGAGGTGAGTCAGGGTACATGCTGTCCATCAGTTTCATTTGCTTTTACCTTCACACCCAAGACACTAAGCTGACAATCAGTTGCATCACGTCCAGTTGTGGAAGTGGTCAGAGTTGTGAGGAAGTCGGGTGTTGTCCTTTCCTTTATGCGTATTGGACCACCCTGGAGTGTGTTGCCCTCCTCTCAGTAAAATGACTAATGACAAACATGTCCCACAGAGCCCTGAAAGCCCTGGTGCCGACATCTCCGAGTACAGATTGGAATGGGGAGAAGATGAAGAATCCTTAGAACTCGTTTACCATGGTCCAGACACCTGCTTTGAGATACAAGACCTATTGCCTGCTGCACAGTATTGCTGCAGACTACAGGTAGGTTTTTTTCTCTTGACTTTGGAAGCCTGCTTCATCTTAAACATTTCTCATTAAACACCTTTGTTGGGTGTTTATTCCTTCATTCCTGTGTAAATAGGTCACCCATCACATCATAGCCCCTTTTCCATTACTGGAACAGGACCGGATTCCAATACAGAGCTGTCATATTAATATGCCCTCCCTTTTTCCTATGGGATATACATTGTCCCTCAATATGGGCCTCCCCTAACTGTTTTTTAAAGTGATCAGAATAGAATAGAACTTTCATAATAGCCTCATGTCTCTGTGTTGGCAGCTGGTGATAGAAAATGTCTTTAAATGTCTGTATTTGTCGTTAAATGAACCAGACCCTTTGACAGGAGGGTCAACACTTGTCACGCCACTATTGCTGGGATGAAGAAATCCCACCAGGAACAAGTCTTTTTCATCCTTACTGACTTTTTAGTATCTGTGAACCACATAGAAACTGCAAATTCCAGCCACTTGATGTTAACTGTATGGTCAAGCCAACTCTGAGTATTCTTTTGAATATTTGGCATTCCAAAAAAATCATTTTTCATAACTCTGCTGTTTTCAAAAAGTGGTTTAGAACCTTTCTTGTTTCACTCAGGAATTTTTGTCTTGTTCCTTAGGGAAATTTTAATTAAGTGTCTTGGTCAATGGTAGAACTACCCTTTAGGCCTTGGGTCAATCCCCAACCGTCTCGGACAATGCACAAACACACACAAAAGAATTACCAAAATAAATATTCCCAAGAGGAATTTGTATGTCATGGCCATAGTATTGCTTAGTAAAAGATGCTTTTAAGTTTCCTTTGAAGAGTTTGAATCAAGTGTATAAACCAAGAAAGAATTTTCTATGTAGCCAAGCCTGCAAAGGGAAGTAGAGTAATGGACAGGACCCTGAGTTGAAGAACATTGCTGGTGAATGTGCTCAGACTTAAATTAGCTCCAGTGTGGTTAATAGTACTATACCAAGGATAGTTTCTGGGTTGTTTTTCCTTTTTAATTTTTTTAGAGGTGTATTTATTTTTATTTTATATGCATGAGTGTTTGTCTGAATGGTGGTTATCTGTGTTCCACATGCATGCAGTACCCACATAGGCCTGAAGAGGGACTATACTTACAGATGGTTGTGAGCTGTCATATGGGCCCTGGCGATTGAATACAGGTCCTCTGGAAGTGCAGCCGGTATGCTTAATCTCTGAGCCACCTCTCCAGCCCCAGCTGCCTAGTTTGGGTCATTAGTGTCCAATGTGTGAAATGTGGGTATTAGGAGAAGCATAGTAAGGGCTGTGCAGAAGTTACTCTCCATGTAACTCTCCTGAGAGTCCAGAGCTAGCCCAGAGTCTTAAAAAAGTTGGGAAACTGCAATTCTGTGTGTGGTTTTCCCAGTAGGAAACTAAGGTGCCTCATGCTGGCTGTGTGACTTTACCACCACTTCCGCAGTGTGGTCTGGACAGTCATTCAGTGGCTCAGCATTACCAACCCATGTGACCACAGAGGCAGCAGGGCTGTTAAGTGAGGGACTGGAGATCTGAGCTGAACTCTGATTCTAAGAGCCAGCTCACTTCCCTTCTGCTGCATGGTGACACAAAACCCTTTGCAGAAAGGGTCCCTGGCTGCCACCCTATCTTATTTCTTCAAGTCTTTGTGATAAATTTATATTTAAATAAACTCTGTGGCATGCATAAGGCTTCAAGTTCAGTCCTCAGTACTACAAAAAACAAAAACAAAAAAACAGAAATTAAATTGAATTTCAAGATAGAGATTCATGAAATCATTTGTCAAGTTAAAATTCATGAACAAAAGGGCCAAGGCATTGTGATGAAGACATACTATCTCAGAACATTACCCTGCAGCCTCCATGGGGGTTCATGTAAGCAAATGTCCTTAGCCTGTCTTTTGTTTGGAGAATTCTGTTTGTTTAATTAACAAAGGAAGAAGCTTGTAAGCTTTGCTTTAGGCTTAGAATTTCAAATTTGTCTTCCTAGTTTTGCAGTTTGTACTGCTTCACTCTTACAAGTGAGAACTGATTTATCACTTCCTTTTCGTTTGAAAAAATTATTTTTTATGTGTATGAGTGGTTTGCCTGTGTGTGTATGTATATTTGCAGAGGCCAGCAGGGTGTCAAATCTTCTCAAACTAGAGTTGCAGGCAGAGTGAGTGCAGGGAATCAAACCTCAAATAAGCTCCATCTGTCTAGTGATAAGTGTGAGGATGACCTAGAATGCTCAACAAGAGCCTGCAGAGAAGGTCTGAGATGAACAGGGTCTGGGAGAAAGACCTCTGGACATAGGAAATCACAAGGGCACAGGTCCTGAGGTGGATGTCATGAGGACTGTCAAGGAGGTCGTCAGAACCAATGGAAGTAAAAACAATGAATTATGAAGTCCAAGTGCTAATGGATGCTTTTGACGTGCAGTAATGAGCCTCAAGTAGGGTCTGTGCATCTTTATTCTGCCATCTTTATTCCAAGTAAGATGGAGGCCATCAAAGGATTCAAGCTGAAAGTTCTGTTGTTTTCCCAGAGATCCCAGGTTTCATTCCCAGCACCCAGGTCAGGTTGCTCACAGCCACCTGTAGCTCTAGCTCCAGGATATCCAACTCCCTTCCCTGGCCACATTAGTCCCCTGTACACATGTGCCATATACTCAGATACATTTACATAAAGAAAAATAAAATTTCAAAGCGAAGTAAGTTCTGGCTTATGTGTTATTATGTCCTTCTAGTCACCGTGGCCAGACTGGTGGCCAGGGTCAGTGCAGATGCCAGGGAGGGTGACTTCAGCTGCTCTGATGGGTGGGACATGGGTGACTGGGACACAGGTGTTTCCAGGAACTCTAGGTACAACCTGAGTAGCTGGGAGGATGAGAAAGATGACAGGAAATACAGTGGGGTTTTAAAGATAGAATACGAGTGAACTGAGGAGCCCAAGAGATGTTCACAAACAGTAGAGTACACATGCCACCCTAGACATCAGGGCAGAGGTGGAGACCACTTAAGGATGACCCCTGACCTCCACATACAAATGTATATATACCTGTGCCTTCGTACACAGACTCACACCAAAATAATAATAATGCTAACAACAACATTTGCTGGCATGTGCTGATGGAGTGTTGTTACTCGGCTGTACTCTTCTGTTTTCCAGGCCTTTAATCCAGCTGGTGCAGGTCCATATAGTGAGCTTGTCCATTGCCAGACACCTGCCTCTGCCCCCGACCCTGTCTCCACGCTGTGTGTCCTGGAGGAGGAGCCCCTCAGTGCCCACCTGGACACACCTTCTGTGTGCCTTGTACTGAACTGGGAAGAGCCGTGCAATAATGGGTCTGAAATCATTGCTTACAACATTGATCTGGGAGACACGTGCATTACTGTGGGCAATACTACCACACGAGTGATAAAGGACCTCCTTCCAGAAACCACATACCGGTGAGTACAAAAAACTTGTGTAAAAATTGGTTGGTCCACAATGTCAGTTCCTGAACTGAAATTCTTTCCAGAGACTATATACCGGTGAGTACAAAAAAAAAAAAAAAAAAAAAAAAAACTGATGTTTAAAAAAAAAAAACTAGCCCACAGTGTCAATCTGAGACTAAAAATCCTTCATAATTACTACATTCCAGCCATTCCTCTGTAACATATTTAAAAGTACTAAATGAAATATAGCTTTAAAATTTGTAAGTGATAAGTTCCTACAATTCCTAGCTTTTGAGGGACAATTTCACCTCAACTCACCCTTGAAATCACTTTCGGCTCCTATACCCTTGGTTTTCCCTTTTTATTCATGTATTTTCTCTGTGATCCATCTGGCTACACACTCCATCCATAGCCACATTGCTGACAACCTTCAAGCAGGACCCCCTCATTCTGTTGACTCCCCCAGAGCAGAACTGGGGTCGCAGAACACTTGTGCTTGAGAGTTCGTTCAGAATTCCACAGTGGGCCAGTGAAAAGTGACATCACACACCACCCTTTAAGATCAGCTAACAAGAGTGATCCCTTCTCCCTCTTGAGTTCCTCACATGGGGACCCTTCTTCTAGTTGTAGCTGTTTCTCCTACCTGGCCCTTCAGACTTTCAAAACATCTAGCACTATCTCCAGCTATCTCCAAGTCACCATAACTCAGACAAAGCGGAAAGCTTGCAGCCAGCAGGACATCTCTAGGATATCCAGGAAGGATGTCTTGATAATCAAATGTGGCCCAGTGGGACTCCTGCTTCAGACTCTGGGTTATCCAGGTGGTGAGGGAAGAGCAGCTGGGGTACTGGTTGTCTTCAGGCCAGATGTTCTCTGTGTCCCAGGCATGCTTCTAGTCAGAAATAAGTAAGTAGATACTGAATGCTTACAATTGAGCCAGTAGTAGCACTGCAGGTGTCCAACAATCTGCACACATCAAAACCCTCTTCCAACAAAACACATGCTTCCTGGGGCCTGGGATGGTGGAAGCCAAGCAGGATCACTGCTTTAGAGAACCTGCTGTCTCCTTTATGTTTTCTGCAGTGCTTTCTCATTCTCTAGTCTGAGTTTGTGAGTGCATGTATGTGTGCATACATGGGTACGTGTGCATGTATGTATATGTGTATACATTACATGTGTGCATGTATTGTGCACATGTACACATTGTGTGTGTATACCTGGATGTGCATGAGTGTGCATGCTTACAGAAACAAGAGGGAGGCTTCCATGTCATTCTTCCTCCCTTGGCACCATCTTGTTTTTTTCAATTCTGTTGTTTTTGTTTGTTGTTTTGGTTTCATTTTGATTTGGTTTAGTTTGAGGCTATGTAGTCCTGTCCTACCTGGAACTCAGCATGCAGGCCTGCTGACCTCCAATTCAGAGATCCACCTGCCTCTGCTGCCTAAGTGCTAGAATTAAACCCCTGGGGCTGGCTTCTTAGTCTCCTCCTGACCAGTGAATCCAAAACCACTACCTTCTCCATCTCCTCCACATTGCTGGGAGTACAAGACATTGCCATACACTTGGCCTGTTTACATGAGTTCTGAGACTTGAACTCAGTTCCTGATGCTTGCAGTGAAACCCACTTGCTGAGTAAGCTCTGTCTCTGGCCCTTTTTATCCCCAGAAGCTAAAGAAGGAGGTAGCTCAGCAGCTGTGAGGTCCAAATGTTCCGTCCTGGATTTTTTTGTATCCATCTCTCTTTTCTGAGTAATTAAAAAATTGGTTTGCTTTTCAAAACAGCAACACAATTTTCCTTGTTTGTCTTAAACACACTTGTGTTGAACACCCTCTTGGCCACAGTGTGCCTGGCAGGTTTAGGGAGCATGTGAAGATTAAAAGGACACTTTGTATCTAGTGAGATGTTCAGCTGGTAAAGACGCTTCTGGAGTACATTTGAATGCTGTGTATAGAAGTCTAGTCAGCACATGGTTGCATGAGTCTATGTTTCAGAAACAATTGCAGCAATTATAGTGAGCTCTGGCAATGACTGCTTCAAAACAAATCTAAGGGCTTTATTTTGGTCTGGTCAGCTTTTCCTCACATTTTTTTCCCATAAATTGGTTAAAATACAAGTAATGATCACTATGTGTGAGGTTTAGATAAAGAACTTGTGTCTTTATTCTTTAAAACACTTTTATGTGTGTCTTGCCTCCATGTATGTCTGTACCATGTGCATACCGTGCCCAGGGATCCCCTGGAGTTTTAGATAGCTGTGACTCTCCATGTAGATGCTGGGAATAGAACGTGGTCCTCTGGAAGAGCAGCCAGTGCTCTTTACCACTGAACCTTCTCCCCAGCCCCTTTCTTTGTGAGTATAGGAGCTACACATCATTCTTTCCGGACTGTAGGTCTGTCTGTAGTGACCCCCAGGAACAGAAAGTGGGGCTCTAGCAGACCCATCTCCCTACTACTGTAGGAACTGCCCAGTAAGGGTTTGCTGGCACAACCTGTATTTGGAATTTGGCTGGAATTAAAAAGCAATTGTTAAAAGTATTACATTTAAGTTTAAAACTATATCTGAAATTGAATTTGTGCTTTGGATTAAAGAGAAAAAAATGGAAAACAGCATTCCTTTGCACATGTCCTGCCAAGTAGAGTCACCGACTGTAAGTGGAGAGAGGCTTGAGGTCACCTGGTGATGCCCGTCCTATCCTGGGCATGAACAGCTCCATGACCAAGGCAGTGGTCCAGCTTTGGCTCACCAGGCAATCCATCTTGTCCCTTGACTTTATCAAAACTCTGTATCTAAAGCCACTTTTCAAGCAGTGGTTCTCAGAGTGTTGTCCGGGGCAGCAACATCTGTAACTCCTGGAGACCCATGAGAAGATTCAAAGGATCAGGTCTCGCCCCAGGCACGGGTCATCCTGAGCTTCTAAGGTTTATATGGGAGTGAGTGGGTAGATGCTAGCTCACTAGAAAGGGCCTGTGATATGAAAGAAATGAGCCATATGAGAAGGGACTAGAATAGAATATGTGATAAAAGTAAAAGGGAAGATATTGGGAGTGAGGAAGTTTGGACACAGGAATATAGACAAGCAAAAATAAGTGTACACGAAAATGTCATAGGGAAACCTGTTGCTCTGCATGTTAAAGAAGATAAGCTCAGCATGGTGACACATGCCTTTCATCCCAGAAGTCTAGAGGTGGAGACAACTGGATCTCTCTGAGTCGGAGGCTAGCCTGGTCTACATAGCAAGTTCCAGACCAGCCAGGGCTACCTCATGAGTCTCTGCCTAAATAAATAAATAAATAAGTTCATTAATTAATGTGGAGTAAAATAAGGTTGTTGCTGAAGAAGTGGCTCAGCAGTTAACAGTATATTGTCCTTGCAGGGGACCCAAGTTCAGTTCCAATACCCACATGAGGTGGCTCACAACCATCTCTTCTATATAATTCAGCTTCTGCTGGCCCAGTGCCCCTTTCTGGACTCTGTAGGCTGCCACAGACATGTGGCACACACATAAGTTAACAAGTAAATTAGAACAGTAAAAGAATTTTAAATAAAGTTTAGGGTCGGCAATATGGCTCAGCAGGTAAAGGTGCTTGCGGCCAAGACTGCAAACCTGAGCTCAGCCCCCAGAAGGGATGTGGCGCTGAAAGGGAACCAACTCCAGCAAATGGTTGTCTCGCCTCTTCTGTGCCATATTTGCCAACACACACCTTGATAAATAAAGGTAAACACTGATTGGGAAGAGTGCATCTTGGTCATAAACCTTGGCTCTGAGATGGAACTTTGTTTGCTGTCTGCACAGTTGAGTGGCATGTTGTCACTGGAGTAAGTACGACGAGGCGCACAGATCCCAGGCAGCAGGAGTAGAGGCAGATTTGAAACTAGAAACCTCCTTTCTTCCACATACAGAAACTTTGCTGTTATCCACCTCTGTGTGCCAAACTACAGCCTCGGGACTCATGACTGGTTGTCAGTGGGTCATGGGTGAAACGTGGTGGCAGTTATTAGTGAAAGCAATAACCTATAAAAGAGAATCAGTCTAGGGGTGGGACCTGGACCTCTAGTTTGATTAGGCTTCCACGAGAAGCATATGTAAGTGTGTCTGAACCCCACTTCTGTAATCCGTGCCTTAGTGGGCCCCATCGGAGAGCCTCGTAATGGCAGCACCTGTTTTCTCGCAGCCTCATCAGCCCACTCTAGCCTAGCATGACTTCCGTGGCCTCCTTCATTACTCTCTGACAGTCTGTCTCCTGATGGCCTCTCTGCAGAACAGTGATCTCTCTGGCTTGGGGAGTCAGGGGGGCTGCAGCTGCCTCTGCCCAGCCGTAACTGGTAGTGAGGTCACCTAAGATCACAGCCTCATTACATGTCTGACTCACACTGAGCTGCTGAACAACGAAAAATTAAAATAGGCTTATTTGTTACGCTCGCTTATGCCCATTTTTGCTAAGTAGAGGGGGTGAAAATAGCGTTTATTGAGTTCTTACTATGTAATAAGCACTTTCGATGCTGAAGGTGAATCATAACCCCTTCACCATAATGAGATAGGGGGGGTGGTCTGTGGGAAGAGCCAAGTCCTGAGTCGTTAGCCAGACTAAGGCCCTCACTCATGTCTCGCCCTGTGGAAGTAACTTAAGTCCTTTATGCCTTTGTTGCCTCATCTGTGAAATGGGCTAAAAGTGCCGTCACCTGGCAATGTTGCCTGTGTTAGCAGAGCTTTCAGCTACCTTCTTGGGTTAGACATAAGCATACAGTAGATTATTGGATGTGCATGGTTTGGGTCAGAAAGAAGTGAATCAGGCACTTGCAATGTTATAGTTTGGCTTGTCTGGAGGTGCGCTGGTGGCGTTGCTGTCACTGAGGCATCAGGAGGGGCTTGGCCTAGGCCAACCCAGCTTCCATTCAAGGGAGACCTCTCCAAACAACTGTTCTCAGGGTCCATTTTTCCTCACAAAAGGAATTTTCTGTGTTTCTTCTCTTGTCTTTTCAGAAGATTTTCTCTAGCCATAGCCTTCTTCTGA